CAGATTCAGTCGCAGACAAACTCAGCAAAAACTTTGCATTTTTTTAGGGTTGTTAGACGATTATGTGCACCATAAACAGCTCAAGAATTAGAAGAATTAGCTCTTTAAAAAAAACAATAGATCAAACTGGACCCAAGTATATGAAACGTTTCTTCTATTTCATATTAATACCATAAGCTCTAAGACAAAAATTTTCTTAATTGAAACCCTTTTAACTTTCTCTAACTTTTTTTAATAAAAAATTAAATTTTTGTCAAAACAGGGTCACTATCGATGTTTGTAGTATGGCATTGTTCTTATCAAACACAATTCTTCACCTATTCGCCAAAGCTGTGCGCTTCTGGGAATTCGCCTCCCTCTGACAGTCCAATTGCTGACAGCACATCGTAGATGATACCTTGTCAATCCCAACAAACACACATGAAAAACCTTTTTGTTTTGAAGACCGTTTGTACCACCTCACAGCCCTTCGACCACGGCCGTGATCCATTTTTCATCACCACTCACTATGCGCTTCAGATTTGCGTCGATTTTATTACAATTCATAGCTTTTTTTACACTTTATAATCGCCTTAAAGATTGTGGATCGACTTTTTTTATCGAATCTGGGGAGTGATGTTTGTAAGTCATGACATTTTTGCACATGAGAATGTGTTTTCTCGCGTCACAGCGGTTACTCATACGCACCGATGTACATTTGTCTTACGAATATAAAATCAGTAGTTTGCCTTTGAAAATATCTATTCTCATTTATATCTAGGAGCATTTAACATATGTATATAATGGATGGATTTTGCAATTGTTTTTCTTATTGGAAAACGAGAGGTTGAGGACCTAACCGCAGGGTGGCTGCCCTTAAGCCATTGAATAGGTTCGCTGTGCTTAATTTTTGCCCTAACGATTGCCCCAATTCTCTGCTCACTTAAGTCCTGCCAGCAATTTTAATTCATTATTATTTCGAAAATTTATAAATATTCCTTAACGAAAAACGATATAATCCTTGCAAATGCCATATCATAGTCACAATGTCTAATTCTTTTTAATTTATAGTAATGTTAATGAGTGTCACCCATACGAAGAAATATTCGTACACAACAACCATTAAGAAAAGAAACAGTACTTTAAGTGAAAATGAGAGCAAATCGACTTCTATGGTAAATTTTTATGAGTAAAACCCTTTGCTCTACCCTCATTTATTCCTTTTAGATGGCACCGAATGTAAATGCTACTAACTATTGTATAAAAAAGGATTGAAAATTCTATTAAAAAATCTGGTGACCGGAGTATGGAGTGAAAAAACGTACCATTAACTGACTATGAGGAGCCTCGAATAGCGATTGCACGCTTAAACAACAACACATCTGCTGGAGGCAATGCCTTACGGCCTGAACTATTAAACAAGGCAATGAGCAGCTCACAAGATGCATGTATCAGCTTATTTGCCGAATATGGTTGGACGAAAGCATACTTGATGTTTGTAACCCAAGTGTGCTCTGCTCAATCCACAAAAAGGGTGACCCCACGCTCTGCGTCAATTACTGTAGAATAAGCACATCACCAGCGATCGGATTTAACCAGTTAGCTTTAGTCCTGAAGAATACACCACAGAGCAAATACTCACTATGTGTCAAGTCTTGAAAAAGGCCCGTGAAAAGAGGTGGTGTGCGTCGACTTTTCGTCGATATTATAGCAAAGCAGTAGAAACTGACGCTGGATAACACCAGAAGCATAGTCGGAATTGGAAAGAATCCCTCCAAGCCGTTTGAAACCATACAGGGTGACTTCTTATGGTGCGTTTTTTTTTCAATTTAATGCTGGAGAAAATTATAAGAACTGCAGAGCTAAATAAGCACAGGGTACAATCTTTCACAAAAGTGCAAAACTCCTGCCGTATGTCGATGACGTTCATAGGTATTAACAACTACACCATTAGTTCTCCATTCTCCAAGCTTGACAAAGAAGCGAAGCGAATGGATTTGTCACGAAGCAGGGTCAAGACGAAATATCTGCTGTCATCAAACAACGAGTCATCGCATTTGCAACTCGACCCCACTTCTCTGCTGATAATCATAACTTCGAGATCATAGATAATTTCATCTATCTAGGGACCAACATTAACAGCCAACAATAATATCAGCCTGATAATCCAAAGCAGAATCACCCTTGCCAATAGGTGCCTCTCGATTATCCAAAACCCCATAAAACTCTACAAGTAACACAGCAGAAGCTTGGACGATGTTTTACGAGTAATATGTTGACATTGAAAAAAGTTCTGTCAGTTGGTGACTTTCAATTTGTTTTTGTTATACAATATCTAAAAACACCAAATCCTTTGCAATTACTTTATTAGTCTTGCTTTCAAATTTTAGAACGATCGGCTAAAATAGAGACGTGAAAACGCAAGATATCTGAGGTGAGGGCAGAAGAAATTCCACCATCAATGAAAACAGAAATTCGCCATATGATTCTCTTCGGGTTTTGGCGTAATTTACAGCCAATACAAATATTTAGTGAACGCTAAATTATATATGGAACGACCACACTGTCTTTAAAAACGAATTTCCAAGTAGTTCCAAAGATTTCAGACCGGACATTTTTCCGTAGAGGGCAAGCTCCGAGAAGGTCAAGGAAAATCTTCCACTGAGGACGTCACTGTAGCTCTAGTGAAGTCCAGAATCGACAAAGACCCACGGTTGACACAGGAAATGATTGGTAATAAATTGAACTTGAATGCCATGGCTTTGACGCAAGTATTAAGTAGTGATTTGGGATACACGAAGGAATCTGCTCGATGGGTACCAGGAATTTCAAAAGAGGCCCTAAAGAGGCTCGCGTGCATTTTGGTCAATTTTTCCAAAAAAAAATCCAAAATGGTCAGCCTAGCGATTTTAGTAAAGTCGTTAGTGACAACAAATCTTGATTCTATAAGTACGAACCAGAATACAAACACCAGTCCTTGGTATGGAACCCAACAGGAAAAAACCCACCAATAAAATCTAAACAATAAATATCAGCAGCAAAAGTAATGATGCCAGTATACTTCACCCAATCCAAAATCATAGCTGCTATTCCACTGAAAAAGGAAAAGGAAAAGGTAACTGCAAAATGGTACATCGAAGGCTGATTAGCAAAGGCTTTAAAAAATTTGTTGAAAAATAGAAAGAAATTAAGAGAGATCACGCGCCATCCCACATTGCTGAAATAACGATTAATTTTATTGCGATCTCTGTGATCGAAGAAACACGTCCAGCAGCATATCCACCGGATATTGCACCTTGTGATTCCTGGTTATTTCCAAAAATTAAAAAAAACTTAAAAGAAAAGGTCTGTCATAGCAACGAGGAGATAATTAATGCGGTTAATGCTGATCTTGATTAGCTTCAAAAGCAAGATTTTAAAGACTGTTTTCAGAAGTAGATCTTTGGTCTTAAAAAATGAAATGATTTGAGATCAATGGCTGAGAAGATAAAATAGGGCAAAGATTACGATTAAGTACAAAAATTATTTTTTTTTTGTTATTTTTCCGGTCAACTTAACGAACTTTTGTTAATCCACTCGTATGGTGCAGCGAATGAAGGATAGTGACTATACTGCCTGAGTCATATCGTCCGAATGAATGAAAGGGTTTTGCTGTAGTATACGATGCAGTACTCGTTAGTGGCAGCAGAAGAAGAGTAAGACCTCCACTCCGTTTGGTAAAATCAGGTGGATAGCTACCTGGTTTTACTTCAACTGGCGCCAAACAGCGAGAAACAGAACCGAATGGCACGCCATTGTTGATTTAGCTACAATCGGGGAAGCGTTACCCTCGGCATTTGAAGTAGGAAAATAACTATAAAAAATGTTACTCAAAATATTTTTATAGCCAATGCACGTGATCCAATATTCGCATTATTTCAACACTTTTCATGAAAAAGTATAAAATTAAAGAAATTAGGCGTCAAAAAGGCGTTAAAAAAATTGTTTAAAATAATCAACATAAATGCCCAAATAGAGCCACACAAGTGATAGAGCAGCACCTAAAATTAATTGAAGAATGGCCAGCAAAATGACGCATACCTTGGCATCCACTTGGATAGGCGACTAACTTGGAAGCGACAAATTTCTACCAAAAATATGCAGCTGAAGTTTGAATGTTCTAGTTTATATTGGCTTTTAAGCAAGAAAACTGAGCTCAGCCGACATGGACCTATATATTCCAGTTATGGGATACAGCTTGCGCGACAAAACTAGATATGATACAAAGATTTCATTCGAGAACATTGAGAATAACAACAGGCGCACCATGGTAGATGCGTAATGAAAATATTCACATAGATCTAAACATCTCTTCCTTGATGATTGAAATCGTTACCCAAAAGTGCAAAGCAAAACTATACCAACATCCGAGCCCTTCGGCTTTACCCTTGGCTTCCGCAAGGCACTCACTACCCTTATGAAGAGCGACATTACGCCAGCAGCCCATTCCAAGCTAATATGCTTTTATATTATATTTTAATTTAGTTTTTAAGCAGATTAGTTAAAGAAACAGATTCAATAAATAAATAAAAATGTTAAAAAAAAATAGTCGAAAAAGCACGAAATTTCAGCTAGAGTTCGTATATTTTCGCTTAGAGCATATCGAATATGAGTGCTCAAATGCTCGAGCTAATGTCTAGATGTCACCTTTTGCTGCTAATATAACCTACTTAGCAGTGTTGCATTTGTTTTGCACAAAATTTTTGTTTCGCTCTCAAAACCTATTAGCCTGACGTAAGAAAAACTCTTCTTATGTATGTATGCTCCACTTTCCTGAATTTGACTGGTTCATGGTCACGTTCTGTTAATAGCGTATTCGCTTTTAAGCCAGATCGACGGTTATCTCATAACCGGGTATCCAGTAAATGTGTTTTATGGATAAAATTATAGCAATGCTAAACCACAAGAGGAAAATGCAATAAGAGCCTAAATCTAAATTCCCTTGCTCTACTTTTTTTCTATGCTTCAATAGTTGGACTCACCTTTTCCTTGAGATACAGCATATCTTCTTCCATGGTTTTCGACTCCGGATGTCCTTCCGGATAGCCACCAACACCTATAGATATGGAATCTGTGGATGGGAAAGCAAGGGAAAGCTTAAGAATTATGTCACTACGTCGCTGAGTGTATACATGAACGAAACTGATATCTAGTGTATTGTTAGTACTGTGAATCCGTTCAATTATCAGTTTGTATAATAAACAATATACATACATTCATACAAATACATACATATATCAAATTATCAATTTTTATATCATTACGTGCAGTAAACATGTACTCATAAAACAGTTTGTACTGTTGTAATAAAATATATGTATTTTAGCTACGAAAATATAAGAAATGTCTAATTTGGAAATTTTTCAAAATTACAACAATAAATCAATTAAATTCGCTATTTATACATATGCACATATATATGTAGATTTCTTGAAATCTACGCCTTATTTTATTTATAATCCAATCTATAAATAGTATACTCAAGTATCATCACTCACCACCTCGTTTACTGCGTATATATTGAACTAAATCTTTTGCATGCGGAAATTGTTGTTGCGGCGCAACCTGATCACCACGCAACGCCAACACATTACTAAAGTTGAGCGTCAGAAACTCGTCGAGTCGCTTGGAGTCGGCACGATAACAAGTGAAATGTGGCATGACCACTACATGCTCGTACAATTGACGTCCCAAACTCACCGATTCCACGGCTGCTACATCCTCCACATTGGCATACTCCCGACCCAGCCAAACGAGTGAGGTAAATAACGGTAACAACGCGCCAAATTTATCATAATCTAAAACTGTTGGCTGTTTGCCATAGGAACGTGCGGACAATTCAATGCCATAGAAGAACTCTTTGGCGGCGACTTTTTGTCTAAAGAGTTCAGCTAATTTGCCTTGTTGTGGTGTTGACTCTTTGCTGGAGAAGCGTACAAGTAGCGGGTGAAATGTTTGACTTGGCGTTGTTGGCAGTATATGTGCACCGCTTGGAGTTGGTGTTGTGCTGCTGCTGCTGCTACTTATCGGTGCATGCATTTTATATTCTTATTTGTCTATTTCACTTTCGTTCAAAACCAATGATAAAGCGTATACTGAGCTTCGACTTTGGCTTATTTTGTTATTACACTTTTTGTTTGCCGCACGTTGTTCACGTCCGCTGCCGAAAGCGATAGCGATCTGATTGGAGAATCGTTTTTGAAATAACTAAATGTGACCGCCACCGTGTGGTGGAGCAGCAGTTTAATCTAACTTTTGAGTATAGCGTGAAGAGCTTTTTCGTGCTTTCGTCTATATTCTAAACATTATTAGGGTGCTCACGATCGAGGATGGGTTGCTTTGGTAAGAAAAACATTTACGTATCTATATTATCGCTAGAGGCTTTTCAGTTGTATTGTTTACACTCAAAGTACGGGTTTATTTCAGTTTGTCATTCTCTGAAATTTTACCAAACTGCTATTGAGACAATCTGTTTCTCGGAGGTTTTCCATGTAGAGATAAGAGTTGCAAGCCAAGAAACTGCTATTGAAGAAATTTCTATAAAAAAAAATCTGTGACTACATTGATAAGAACTGTTGATTTCGATTTCGCCGGAAGTGTGGTGGTTACGCCGCAGACTACAGCAACAACATGTTACGACACTATTGAATTAAAAAATGTTTTAAATTTGAATTGACCTATACCGATCAGACCAGGCAGTGACTAAATAAAGCAGACTATCTCCCACTTGAGTTCCTCATCGCAAGAATATCGAAGTATTGTATTCGAGGTGAGATGAATCAATACATGTCTTCAACGCCCTATAAAAGGATATACAAAATGTTAATTATTTTCTTATCTATAAAATTTTGCAATATTCAGGAACTTTTTAGAAAGGTTAAGTGTTTCATTATGGGAAGATGCGAAAGTTTTGTTGTTTTATACTACAGAGAATTTAACTGCATTTAGCGCTTCCAACACTTTGCCTTTTTGAGAGTTAAAATCTAATGACACCAGAATAAGCTGTATTTCACACAGGAGTGGACTTGCGGTTGGTTGGAATAGTAGAAAGTGGAAGTCGTTTCCACTGCTGTCTCTCTTTTTCTTCTTTATTGCCGTAGACACCGCTTATGCGCTAACATCATAGTTAAGAACCGAAGTATGGCGATTCATTCCCTCTTTTCGCTGTTTGGCGCCCATTGGAGATACCGAGTAGAGCCAGGTACTTCTCTACCTAGTATTTCCAAAGGAGTGGAGGTGGTGGAGGAGTGGAAAACTTTCAAAGCTGCTGTATTCGTAGCCATCCGGACCACATGACTTAGCCAGCAAAGTCGCTGTTGCTTTATTCCCTGAACTATGTCTCGTATATCTCGAATACCTCACCGTTTCCAACTCTATATCTTACGAAATCTTTCTCTCGAAGAGTCATGTCCGACCTATCAGACGTTGTTGTCATGCCTGAGCGACTTAAAGTGTGTAGTTTTTGGTTCGCCGAGAGAGAACATGACTTTTCAACTCAGTAAGCGACCCAAGTACCACCTGTTAGCAAGACTGTTTCTGCATTGGATTCCAAAGCTGGCATTGTTGTTGGTTTTAATACTGGTTCTAGGATCGAGAAAGTTATCTATGACTTCAAAGTAAGGGCAGTCAACAGTGAAGTGGGAGCCGCGTCGCGAATGCGTTGACTGCTTGTTTAATGACAGGAGATATCAAGTATTGCCCCTGTTCACTACCAAATCCTCCTTTTCTTATGCACTCTGGGAAAAACAGAACTCACGGCATTGTTGTTGGGGCCATTGATGTCAATATCGTCGGTGTTGGTGGCATAAAACGACGGCGACTTGTTAAAATTATTCATAGCTATTGAGATGTATTTGCTTCTGCCGAAGTCGTCGCCGTTGTCCACGTACAAGTAAAGCAACGCAAAATCAATCAGTGAATATCTATCGACACCGAATTTGCAACTCGACGAGAGGTAAAGATCGAGTGAATATTTGATTCGATGATCGAGCCTCGCCAGACCCGAATAAGTGCGCGAGCTTTTTAGCCGACTTTTTATTCTGCACCCTTCGGCAGACAAAATGAAGCGGCAAGTGACCCTCCGTCTGCGCACGTTGCCAAACACCAGTGTGATGCTTAAACATCCGAGATCAGCGGAAACAGACTAGCTTACCAAGTACCTCAATCTGTCTTTGACCACGATCAAAAAAAAAGCCCACAGCATGTAGAAAATGGATAGAGTAGTCCCGGTACCTAATACGGGGAACTTGTCGACAAGGGAGAATCATATTAGGAAAGACAATTGAAGCCTTTCTGCTCCCGTCCTTCACACCATCTGAGCTCAGTAATACACCACCATGGTTTCCGAGCACCACAAGTGCACTTAACGCCATACACTATAATAGTTAATGGCCTTAACCAAAATCGGCCCCGCTCGATAACCGTCCTGATAACACTGGATATGTCAAACGTCTTTGACATTGTCAACCATTCAGTGCAACTATCGCACATTGAGGACTTCTCACTACCGCCTACTCCTTCTCTCCTCATTACTGTTCAATTTCTACATTTCGAAACCAGCGTAAAATTCGACCAAAATTCAAAAGTTCCCGAAATACTCAGGTCTTTATACTGGATTTTCATCCGGCAAATGACTATCACTCCCACAACATTCCCCATAAACTACTTTGGAGAACATTTTGCAACAACAATAACAAAGAAACGTTCTTCGCATGATACACAGGCAATTGACTGACCGGTTGACCGGACTGCTCTGGTCAGATGAAGAAGCTAGAAGCATGCAAAAACACCATCTCAAGGACAGTGGCAGGAAACCTACAGAAGTCGCCGGTATCACTGGCACTGTGAGACATCTATGATAGGCATTAAGGGGCCCAATGCTCTGATGTGCGAGCAATATCTTCTGGATGCTACCGTCGGGAACACTTCAACAGACATTCACTTGAGGTTGAGGAAACACGTCAGGAAAGAATTACTCGACCACAAGGACTCTATTCAGCACAACGCACAAGAACCGCTGAACAAGAGGATGTACACCTTCTTGCACTCTCTTCAAGTGAATGGCCTTATCGGAGTAAAACCACCACTTTTAGCAGATGAAGAGCGTAATACTGGTACAACTTAGATCTGGATATTGTATTAGGTTACATCCCTACCTCTCCAGACTCGACACTAACATACCCAACGTAAGGCCAGGGTGAAGAGCAAATAATATATGACGACTTTTTTATCATTATTAAATAATATAAGACAGTTTTTCTGAAATTAAATTAATTAATGTATTTTCATTTATTTAGTACGGCTTACTTTATTCTCTTACAATTACAAAAAAAATTTTAATTTTGGTTAATCTTAATACAAATAGACAAAACTTCATCCCAGTTTAATATTTATTTACTATTTTTTTTTATTTTTTTTTTTTTTTTTTTGTGTTATATTTTGGCAAATGACATTTCTGTGCTAAATCTCACTTTCTCTACATAGGTATGTATATAACTAAAGAAATCTTAATGCTTAATGATAAAGATGATGTTTTAGAAGAATTTTGAATTTTACTGTTGTTAATTTTTATAAACCGCTACTATGCATTTTCGCTACATTTCTCTAATATTGTTTTTTGCTTTTTATAAGAAGGAAATCTCGTTGTCACTGTTTTAAAGAATAAAAAATATATTTATGTAAATACATATGTATATTTATGTATGTTACTTTAGGTAGTAGTCTGGTAACTTTATTCGGAAAATCGACTTTTTTTCATTCATTAAAAAATTAGAGCTCAAGCTGACCGAGATTTTGAGCAACGAGCGCTGCATACCTCGTTCACTGCCCACGAGCACGAACTCGAGCGCTTCGAGCATTTTGGTATAAAAAGTTTGACTTTCGTATCAGAACTCCTTTCAATAATTTTAAATTGATTTATGCACAGTGTAAAACTCATTGAAATACAGAAAAAAATTTTACAAAAAAAATTGTAATTTAAAAAATTTCAAACTATCATTTGAGCAGTTGAGTAACGAACGAGTACAGAGCTGCTTACAGTGCTCGATACCCGGTTATGTGGAGCTCTTTTAAAAATACACTGTAAAAGTTTTAGAACGAAATTCGAAATATTGACGAAGTTATAGCACCTATAGCGTCTCGTATACTGTACGATTGGAAAGCATGATAAACACCTTTCTATCCAACCGACTGAAATTTAATTTGAATATTTATTCTACTCATTAATAGCTCTCGCGAAAGTAGGTACTTTTTCGCAAGTTTTATTAGAGCCGACCGGAAACACAAAATAATAATTTTTTGGACTTTTTTCCTTCAGATGTTCCAAAACACTGGGCTCTCCCCTCTTTTTTGTGAGACACCGACTTTAATGCTACGAAAAAAAATTTCAAATATAAAACACCAAAAATTATTTTTTTGTACACTCTGAGATACTTATAACAATATGTTACATAATGAAACTGATTGATTATTATTTTTTCTAAACAATATGTTCCTATAAAAGCATTTAAAAGTGCATATTACCAGGCTATGACCTTAAAAAGCATTTAGGCTACAATTACCCATAAACTTGAACTTGTTTGTTGCTTGCCGTAATCATAGCTAAATAGGAACAAATGCCGATGTGAACTCTACGAATTGTGTTCAAGAAAATATCCTGCGGTGGTGTTTTCATTTATATAACGCTTACATATGGTTGCTCGTTTCAGCCGATCAATTTTAGCGCACTTCAGCTGCTGAATAATTGCAGCCCAGTGCTTAATAATTTTTAAATAAATTTGAGTGTAGTTGTAACTGGTGCGTTGGTCACACATTTTTTTTTTACTTTATGTAGTATATGTATATGTACATATTTAGAATTTAATTGTTAAATGGAAGATTTATTTTGCTCTAAATACAATGCAATGCAACTTGTCAACAAAACTAGTATATTATTAGCCAAATTTGTGGCGTTTGTTTGCATTACGTACGTTAAAATATCTTTTGCCAGCTGCCGCGATACTCACGCACACGTAGTTAGTTTTTTGATGTTTTTTTTTTACTTTTAGGATTACTAAATAAGTTTTTAAATTATAAAATCATTTTTACTTAGAAAATAAAAAATTTATTTTAAACTATAATTAATCCAAAATGTGAAATAATTAAACACACGAAATGTAAAACAATTCGAACATACAGATTTATGCTGCAGACAAATGCTGTCATTGATTGATTTTATATAAAGTTTCAACAACCAATTGTTTTGTTCATTTTCATGTAAGCTATTTCATTAAAAATACTAATTCTAGAAATATTTTTATTAATGCTACGCTCATAATATGCTGTTATGTATTTTATTAACTTATCATCGTATTTGTTTATATGTTTATTTGCTAAGAATTGATGCTACGTTTAGTAGCGTTTATTAATCTATGCGTATTTTTATAACAGATATTTGTTTTGCTGTTTTTTTCTGTTATTTTCTATTTTTTACTTTAATATTGTATTACATTTTGTTATTAACATAACGCGTTCGTACTTATATACATATATAAAATTGTATTATTTAATTAGCTATATACTATCGCAGTCCATATGTGACGTCTGTCATTTCTTTTTGATGCGTTGCACGATCCACTCGAGCCCCTGGTAAAGTCTAATGAAGAAACAAGAAATTTTTTGTTTATTAAAATGCTATAGTAAAAACATCCATTAATATCATATATATTTAATATTATATGAGCAATAGTTTACTTATATGTATGTGGTCTCTACTTGTTTTTTGAAATAACGGTTACCAAAAATAAAAAAAAACTTTATGCACCTTTGAAAAAATGTACAGGAGTGTTATACAATCCGAAACTGAATTGCTAATTTATCGGAATTGAAACTCAATATCTGCTTGAAATGGTGTTATGATAGATTTGACTTGATTTTATGGGCAAACCCGTTTTTGGAATCAGCTGGACTTATGCAAAAAAACCCAGTATTTTAATTTAACTTTTGTGCTGGCTTTAACATATTTGTGATTTGTAATTCAAAATAGAAGGACTTCAACGTTTTTGATGATAGAAAATATATTGATTTGGAAAAACCAGCGTAAAAATAATGCTACCAGAGTCGATGTTTTACATTTGCTGATACAAAATTTTTGTATATGTATGTATATGTATAGACCAATATCGTCTTAACAAAGACGCCTTTGTAACCACTGAAGCAATTTTCGGCCGAACTCCACCAATTCGTGGTTTTTGCGTCTTGACGGTTTCCCAACAAATAGAGGGACCTACAGTTTATACTAAGCCGCCTCCGAGAACGGCTGATGGTTTTTCATGAGGCGCCTTTATTTCATGCCAGAAAAACACTCAGAGGGCTTGAAATTCTCTGCAGAGGAGCGACCGTAATTAGAAAATTCAACTTAATTTTTTATTTAAACTGATTTTCCTTTAATTAATAAATTTCAATGTCAACCAGTGCTGCCAGTGTTATGGTAGCCGAAAAACTACTCCCCAAAGTAGCTTCTGGGGAAAGACAGTCCTTGGTCGGGTTAAAATCATGGTCGTTCCGGCATAAATGCATGACTACAGCGGTAGCTTTTGGATTTTAGGCGCCTCTTTGTACAGTCATACCTTACTGCGTGGTGGTGTAGCCTTTGTAATAGTGCTGGATGTCATTGAAGACAAGTTAGATAGGCTGTCTAGCCCACTTGTGATCTAAGTTGCTACGCTACTGCAGTTTTTGGCAGATGGCTCCTATCAAAGGCCTGTGAGTAATGACTCAAATATCTGCTTAACACGACCTACAGCTTCGGTGATTATAACAGAGGTGTTAAGGCTGATTTGCTCATTCTGAATAATACGAACGACAATGAAAAGCGTAGAGTTCGTGACCATTATTTTCATCGTAGTACCGTATTCCGGGTTTTGCTTGTCGTAAAACTCATTGTGACTTAGATTTTATTAAATTTCCGCTTGCTAAGAAGTTAGCACACAAATATATCAAGGATTAACTGCTAGGTTAAGCTCTGACAGTTAAACGGATAAATCAGTTTCTGTAACACACATAATCGACACAAATTCTTTTTCGAAAATGAAAAAGATATGCAAATCAATAATCCAAATGTGTAACGCCTTAAGCAGATTTTGTCGATTTCAATTCTGAGTCAACACCCCTGATTAAGTTCGACATGTTCCACCTTTGCTCTATATTTTGTTGTTGTTGTTGTTGTAGCCGTTCGCTAGCCCCGCTAATATCAGTCTAAGTCATGGAGATCATTTAACGGGAGGTCCAGGAAACGAGCTGTTTCGACGGGTTTGAACCAGAGGGAAAGAAGGTTTAGATGAGTTCGTTTCACGTGGCATACAAAGAGATGGTAACTTGATAAGATTTGTCAAATATGTTTTGCTCCCAGTGGAATGTATTTTAAAATATGGTAGCGATTACAAATAAAGTTATTTATTTGTTCATCTCTTAGAACAAATTCATTTGCAAATACGAAAATATTTGAATGTTCATCATACAAGCGTTAATATGAAAAATGTTTTGTGTATGTTATTACTTATATGACTTCTATATATTTGGATGTCTGTAATTCTTTGCACATACAAATAATAAATGAAAGTCACGTTTAAAAAAGTAAACAAAACTATACTAAGTTCCTTCCATGCGTCAACACATCTGAGATTCCATTGTAAATATAACATTTTGCTTGGTTTTTAATATAATTTTAGCAAATATCATACCCCTCGCCAGTGAGCGCACAACATGCTTGTATATGCCATTGATGTTTTTTAATCGAGGTTAAATCCAATTGACGTGAAATTTCCGCAGCTGACATAGCACCTTTGAGATCCTAGACGAAAGTAAATAAATAAAATCATTTAAATATAAATCAATGAATATGAACCTATGAATATATAGCAAGTATGTGACAAACAAACCTGTTTATTTGCATAAACTAATAGACTGGCTTTACACAGATCCTCATGCTGCAACATGCGATACAATTCCTCACGCGTCACAGCCAAGCGTTCACGATCTGTCGAATCAATGACCATTATAATGAACTGCGGAAAAGGAAATGAGAAAAATATAAACAAAGGATATTACATGGTCTACGTAAGGTATTAATGCAATGCACATATTTACATACCTCCGTGTTTGTATAGTAGGTGCTCCACGCAGCACGTAAACTCTGCTGTCCACCCAAGTCCCACACAAGAAAGTGTATATTTCGCCACACTACTTCCTCGACATTTGAACCAATTGTTGGGCTGGTGTGTACGACTTCATTCATAAGGAATTGATAGAGTATTGTAGTTTTGCCAGCATTATCCAAGCCAACCATTACTAATTTGTGCTCTGTGTATAAATACATAGAAGAGAGAGTAGATTTTTATTATTATTAACAAAAATATATTTTACGTAATGTAAATAGTTAACTTAATTGTTTAAGAAGTGTAGGAAAACAAAATTTCAAGATTGTGCAATGCCAAGTACACTTCATTACAATAATTATCTCCTTTTATTGTTATGAAGATAAAAACAAGCATGTTTTTTGTTGCCAACTGAAAGCAAAACGTTGTGAGCACATTTCCATTATCAGTATAAGATGAACATAGGTCATTCAAATGATAGTAATTGATAGAGGTTTCACATTTCAACACATCGTTTTACAAGAAAAAAAAAGAAAAAGAAACAAACAATTAACTTAGTTTTAAAATGTAATACATATTGTAATATATTGAACGTAAGTTTTTATTTAATTTTTATATGTTTATTTTATTTATTTTTTTTATTTATTTTTTTTTTCTTTTTTTTTAATTTCTTTTTTTTTTTTTTTTTTTATTTTTTTTTTTTTTTTTTTTTTTAATTTATTTTTTTTATTTTATTTTATTTTTCTTTTTTTTTTAATTTTATTTTATTTTATTTTATTTTATTTTTTATTTTATTTATTTTTTTATTTTATTTTATTTTATTTTATTTTATTTTATTTTATTTTATTTTATTTTATTTTATTTTATTTTATTTTATTTTATTTTAATTTNTGCGTCAACCAGAAGGTTTCGTAGATAAAACTAAACCTAACAAAGTTTGTCGACTTCAAAAATCGCTGTATGGCCTTAAGCAGGCTGGAAGGTATTGGAATGAAAAAATTAACAAGATGTTATGCGAGATGGGGTTTAAACGATGTAAAGCAGACAATTGTGTCTACACTCGATGCGAAAATGGTGAAATTAACATATTGTGTATATATGTTGATGATATTTTATTGGCATGTTCGTCTCAAAATACAATGAAAAGAATTATAAAACAGTTAAACGAGAAAGTAGAAGCTATCGATCGTGGTCCAATTCGATACTATCTCGGTATGGAAGTTGAACGTGATGATCTTCGTGGAAAAATAACTATTCATCAAGGTCGTTATGTGAGAGAGTTGCTCAAGCGGTGGAGTATGGAAGATTGCAAAGGAGTAGCGACGCCATATAGTAGAGGCACGGTTCTTGACAAATGTAGTAATACAGATTGTAAAGGCTATTTGACGCAACAGTATATGTCTCTTATTGGTGGTTTGACATATTTGGCAATAATTTCGAGGCCAGATATAGCACAAACTGTGTCCAAGTTGGCTCAGTTCAACAGTCATCCGCACAAGGAGCATTTTGTTGCAGCCAAGCGTGTTCTGCGATATTTAAAGCAGAAACCAAAGGGTATGATAACTTATGAAGCTAACCATCAAAGCTTAATTTGTTTTTCAGATGCTGACTGGGCTTCAGACTCTACAGATCGCAAGTCGATTAGTGCATTCGCAATGTTTCTGGGCGATGGGTTGATTGCGTGGGAGTCAAAGAAGCAACATGCAGTTTCTCTTAGTACAATGGAAGCTGAGTATATTGCTATGTGCAATGCAGCTAAAGAAATATCGTTCATAAGAAGCTTATTATCAGAAATGGGTTTTAAACAGTATGTCAAAGATGCATCCAGAATTTTATGCGACAATCAGAGTGCACAGTTTGCAGTCAAAAATCCTGTCGCACATAAGCGGAGTAAACATATCGAAATAAAGTTTCACTACATACGTGAGAAGTACATCAAAAACGAGATCGATATTGACTACATCCCGACATCGCAAAATGCAGCAGATATACTAACAAAACCTTTATCTGGAGATACACATAATAATTTATGTATATTGTTAAAAATTGATTTTGTATAATGAAATTTAGAAAAATGAATTTGTATTGATTTTGTTATAAAAAAAAAGGGATAAAATTAGTTTGACGAATCGCATTTGGGTTGAGGCGGAATTTGTAAGAAAATACATAGCTAATGTATGCAACATAGGCAACCCGAATACGATATTACTTTTAGTACATAAGCTTAATATAGTTTTCATATTGTAACTACTTTATACTTGAATAAATGAACTAAGAACGAACGGTTGTGCGTTGCTATCTATCTGCAACATTTTACATGGGTTATGGGCCCAGATCACGTGGTTCTCAAAGTTCGAAGTATCGGGTTTCAAATAAATCGTTGGTCGATTTAGGTTGGTTTAAATAAGTATTTAAGGCGTGAAAATGAGTTCGTCATTAACGAATATAGAAAAGCTCAACGGCGAGAATTATTCTACGTGGTCGCTGTTGATGAGGAGTTTGCTGGTAACTCAAGATTTATGGCATGTCATTGAAGACACTCCTAAGGTGGAACCTTCAGAGTTGGAAGCAAGGACATGGAAGACTGCCGATCAAAAGGCATTGGCAATGATACATTTATGCGTAAGGCCGTCAGAATTGATTCACGTAAAAAGGTGTGAAACGGCGAAAGAAGCTTGGATTCTTTTAAGCGATCTCTACAATGCCGACGGTCCAGCTCGTAAGGTAAATTTATTCAAAAAGTTGGTGCAATTCAAATTGAACGCTGCAGAAAAATTCGCACTTCAAATAAATGAGTTTTGCTCGATCGTTGACAGCCTTAGCGAAATCGGCATTACTGTACCTGATGACCTGCTTTGCATTTTACTGCTATGTAGTCTACCAGATGAGCTAGAAAGCTTTGTAATTGCAATTGAAAGCAGAGACACGTTGCCGAAAATGGAAGCATTAAAAATGAAAATATTTGAAGAAGAGCGAAGGCGAGGTCAACGGTTAACAGAAAGCGAAAAAGTTTTTTCCGCTAATTACCATATAAGGCCTGTAAAAAGTGACCAATCATCGAATATTTCCAATGAGCGTGACAATAGCAATAACAACAAGCCGAGATATTCCAGGCGCAATTTGAACGATGTTAAGTGTTATTGTTGCGGTAAGAGAGGTCACGTTAAAGCGCAATGCAAAAGAACGCAGCGTCCAACAGTACTTAATTTATGTGACTCAAACACTCAAAGATCGTGTGGTGAGAATACCTGGATTCTCGATAGCGGAGCATCATCTCATATGTGCAGTGATATCTCATTGTTTACTTCTTTGCTCAAATCCACTCAAAAAGTATTTTTAGCATCTGGAGAAGCTGTAAGTGCAGAGGGAAATGGAACAATTCTGCTCAAATCCAAATTTGGTGATATTTTGTTGATGGGCGTTTTGTACGTACCAAAGCTTAAAAACAATTTTATAGCGGTGAGCAAAATACTTAGTAAAGGAAAAGAAGTACATTTTAGAAACAGCAAAGCGATAGTTAAGACTAAAGAAAATAAAATAGTGTTCGTCGCGAAAATGGTTAACGGAGTTTTTTATGCTAAATTTAGTGCGTTAAACAACAATGAAAATATAAATTCGGTCGTACAAAAGGATAATGAAATTATCGAAAAATGGCATCGGCGTTTTGGCCATTTAAATTATAAAGATTTATATATGCTTTCGGAGAGCAATATGGTGCATGGATTGAAAATCAAAAACTGTGGAAATTTTGATTGTGACATTTGTGCGTTGTGTAAAATTAAAAGAAGCACATTCGGTAAATACACTAACGTAAGATCAACAAAGTGTTTAGAAATTATACACTCAGATATATGTGGGCCTATGCGTACAACATCGCAAGGCGGTTCGAACTATTTTATAACATTTATAGACGATTTTTCGCGCTATATTGAGGTACATTTTTTAAAGAAAAAATCAGATGCGTTTGAAGCATTTAAGCAGTTTGTGGCGTGCGCAGAAAATCAAATCGGTAGCAAATTGAAATGTCTACGTAGTGACAACGGACGAGAATATCTAAGTGCGGAGTTCGAAAATTATTTAAAATCCAAAGGTATTGTACACCAAAAGACTGTGGCTTACACGCCGGAACAGAATGGGGTGGCAGAACGTGCCAACCGGACATTAGTTGAGATGGCACGGTGTTTGTTGGTGTCAGCAAACCTTCCTAAATCATTGTGGTCGGAAGCGGTAAATACGGCTGCTTATATTAGAAATCGGTGTCCAACAACAATATTAAAAAATAAAACTCCTTTCGAATGTTTTAGAGGTTATAAACCAAGTGTGAACCACTTAAAAGTGTTTGGCTGCGAAGCCGTTGTATTACATAAACAACCAGGTAGATCAAAATTCGATTCTAAAGGTACAAAAGTTCGATTTGTTGGTTACGCTAATCATACAAAAGGGTATAGACTCTATGATTCAGGGAAGAAAAGCATTATAATAGCGCGTGATGTAATATTTTTTGAAAATATTTTACCGAAAATTGAAAATGAAGAAACTGAAAACGTTAATATTGAATTAATAAACGATAATGAAAATAAATTTAATGAAATTAGAGAAAATAAAAATGATATAGAAATTGAAAATAATTTAAGAGCTATCGACCTTGAAAAAGACGTTGGCATCGAAGGGCAAGAAGAAGAACTTAGTGAAGAATCTGTTTCGAGTGAAGATGGCGAAATTGTGTTCGGCAAAAGGAAGCGTGGAAGACCACGTATATGCAGAACTGGAAAGGTGGGTCGTCCAAAGAAAAAGTACATAGCTGAATATCCTGAAGTGTTGAATTTGGCGTGTGAAAATCCTACAACGGTCGCAGAAGCAATGCAGTCTAATGAAAGCTCACAATGGAGAGTTGCGATGCAGGCGGAATACGATTCCCTCACTAAAAGTGGTGCTTGGACCCTTACTGATCGTCCACATGGCAAAAACGTAATCGGATGTCGATGGGTATTTGTAAAAAAGTACGATGAGACTGGTAAGCTGGAAAAATACAAGGCGCGTTTAGTTGCGCAAGGCTGTTCCCAGAAGCCTGGTGAAGATTTTGAACTTACCTATGCTCCAGTAGTCAGACATACGACAATTCGTTTAATCCTCAGTTTGGCAGCTCAACAAAAGTTGTTGGTAAATCATATAGATGTCGTAGCGGCGTACCTGAACGGCGAGTTG